GTGAGTAGTAAACATGAAGATTTTTCCTTCAAAAAGGCAATGGTACTTCCGAATCAGCAAAATGTATACCTGGTCTTTGCTGCTCTTTCTTTGGTGTACTCCCTTTTTGAAAACATTGTTTTAGAGGATTGATAAATCTGAAGAAACCAACCCTAAGCACAGCCAGTTTGGCAGTGGCCTATCCTGGAGGAAGAAGTTAGCAAATGTGAAAAGTGATACTAGATCATCACTGTGTTAATGCCTCCTTACGTTTTATGCTGCATATTTGTTCAGTGAGCCTAAGGACGTGAGAGTGAGATCTGATTCTTTCCCCTTTCTGTCTTTAACTCAATGACAAGTCTATGATGATTTCTTTGAACTTTTGCTCTCGTACTTAGATCAGGACATGTATAACCATTGTTAACAGTTTGTCTCTTGGGGGCTTCACATAGGAGTATTTTTCTATTCTATAATATCTAAATATTATTCAGTTGAATAACTGATTTTCTCACCTCTTACAAAAGCTCTGATTATGCTTACTCTAAAATGCAAAGTCTATAATGAATGCCAACCTACTAAATTTACCAGAGGGTAGGAAAACAGTAGAAGTTAAGTCGTTTTATTTCAAGAATCTGTGCAAACTGGAGTAAAAGTGGACTTAGGCATCGGTTCATTGGCCTAATCTATATTGGATCTGAACTATTCCAACCTCTACTGTAGAAGAGCTGTCCTGGCCATTATCACATTTGGATATAGAGTCAGCTCTAATCTCTCTTAGTTCTACTACTGTATTTCCAGGAAGGATGAGTCTGTTGAGCCTTGCATACAGGCCTGTCAACTCATTTCAACCTGTAGCTATTTCCCAGGACCAATATTATAACACATTTATCTTGTAAACCTACTCTATTAAAGGATATCAATACATATGTTAGACTTAAAGACTTCCTAACTGCCCTTGTCTTGTAGCAGTCCCTGTTGTTCTGAATCTACACACTGAAAACTTTATCTCCTGTCTATGTCAGGAGGTCCTTTGCTCTGTATTCTTTCCCTACAGACCCATTGTATTTTGCATGCCATATTTTCCCTATCAATGTTGGCAGGTATACTCACAGGCTTATAATGGATTTGTTAAGAAATTATCTTGAGACCTTTGTGTCTGATGCAAATATAAACAAGTCAGCTGCAGTTTTCCTGTCACAAAGGAGATGGCATAAAGGCAGTGCTTGAAAAAATATGAAGGAAAGTACATAGCTCATTTATATGTTAAGGGAGACTAGCCTTCCTGGGACTGTAGTCACTGGCACTGTGACAAGGCAGCAAAACTCAAGCAAATCCTCAATAGGGATAAATTCTCTCCACAGATAGATGCTCCACTGTTGTAAATTCTCACAGTTTCATCAGAGCAGTGGTAACCAATACCAGCTAGGAATCTGCTCCATCCTTTGAGAGGGGAAGGCTTTCTGGAAGTTTTCAGTTGCAAGATCCAGGCTTTCGCATCACCTTGGTTTAGCAATTAGTTTAGGACTGTAATCCCTAGGTGGTCTGGGGGTGCAAGCCTAATCAAGTAAGTGGTGTGCTTTGGGCGAAAAAAACATCTGAAGGTCGCTTCCTTCTCAGAGGAAAGGGAATGATGTCCCTTGGTTTTCCCCAGAAACATAAACTTTCTGAAGACATGATCATACTTGTAGCTACTAGGGATTCATCTGGCTATTCCAAACCTGGCTGGAATGGTAGTACACAAAAAGTAAGAACCTAGAAAGCAGGACTCAAAGAAGGGAAGAGAGAAATAAGATCACAATTAACAAGCTACTGACGTGATTCCCTTTTTAAACATAGAGTTCTCTCTAACTTGTACTGTAGGTAAGCCCAGTCCTATTCTACCTAAAATTTTCTGACTTCGTTCTCAGAGTAGAAGATGTATTAAAAATGCTCCATTTGAGGTTTTGGGGATTTTGTTGTTTTTTTGTTTTTTTTTTTTTTTTTTTTCCTTCCCCTCCTAACACGCATGTTAATGTTAGTTGCTTGGTGAAAACTACTGTCCATAGTTTATGCAGTGCTTGCAAACAAATGGGGAAGTTTTCTATCTAGTCCTATTTGAACTCCTGGAGCTGTAAATGAGACTGACATGACTTTTAGTGTCTCGAATGGTAATGACCTGAATCTATATATATACACATATATATGTATATGCACACACCTATATATATACACATATATGTGTATATGTACATATATATGTGTATATACATAAATATACACACATATATATGTATACTGGTATGTATATTCATGGGAAGAGTGTATTAAAATGTAGTGACACAAAAGTAATTTTCACCTCAATTTCAGAGAATAAAGCAAATTTATCTTCTATCAGTCATACTTCTCCCACATTGTCTGCCTCAGAGAATGGGATTTGAATTGTTCAAATGAAATTAGAATGTCATGGCCTTGACCTGAATAGAAACAAGAATATAAAAAAGTACATAGAAGATGCCTGTGTAATCTGTGGGGTTTGTATGGCTGTTAATTTGTAAGCATTGTTAATTCACAGTAGCAATAACCTCCTATATTAGTGAAGCTGAGTGTCAATATTAACACGTATTATATGCATTAAAAATGATCCATTTGCCTTTTTTTTTTTTTTTTATCTCCTAACATGGATGATCAGTTTCAGGTATAACACTTTAAGATTTGTATTATATTCAGCCAATCCAGATCTCATTACATTAGACAAACACTGTACAGGAAGAAAATGGATTGTATAAATGCCACTAATCTTATTCATGAATTTTCCTACTGCAGTAGGTTGGAAATATACTACAAAAATTCTTATATAAATTACTTTGTTTAAGTTCTGGTATTGTATTTCTGTATTTTTTCATTACTATTTAAGAGGTTTTGATTCATTTCTTCAGATAAAATTCAATGCTTTACTGTTGCTGTTTGTTCTCTACCATTGTGGATAATGTTCATCTCTCTTACCTTCTTTCCACCTTCCTGCTGGTCTCTGGATATCAATCTGTATCGCAGGCTGGAACGTCAAATTCCGGTAGCTTTTTATAGAATAGGGATTCTTCTTTTTTGTTTTGTTTCGGTTCTTTTTGTTGTGTGCTTTGAATCAGACAAAGTTTATGACTGTTCAATACTGTTTCAGCTATTGTAAGTAACAGTTTAATTACCTGTTTTCTTTTGATGTAAAACTGTTTGCATACTGTTAGTTGCTGTTGGACATTGTGTTGTAAAACAGCCCAAAATATGGTAATAGAAATACATATATTATTTAGTGTATATATATAATATAAAATGAGCATATATATTACATATGTAAAATACATAAGTAAAAACATATATAATATTGCATGTGGTATGCATATGGTCTAGGACAACTGCAGGTAAGTCTTCTGGAGGAGTCTTATTAATGAAAAAGCTCCAATCTTAAGCTGGACCATACTGTAGTGTTTAATAAAAATATTACATGTGACATTTATTTCTACAGGATTCTTGTACACAATTTAAAAATAAGATTCTATTTAATGCCACAGGTTTTCACAATAATTTCTGTATAAATCCATGGCATTTCTGTGTTATTTTGTTGTTTCAATTATTATTTTTTTAGGTTGCACAAAACCTTCCCGTAAAGAAGTACAGTATCTTCTACTTGTGGTCTGCTAGTCCTTGAGGAAACTGGTATAAAATGGAGAAGTAACATGCTCTCAACAAGAACAAGTCTGTGTTTTGAGCATTGTTGATTATCTGAGAAGATCACTTGTACATATTAATTCAAGAAAGCTCTTCTATTGGTATATGTATGTTGAATGCCTTTCCTGGTCTGTCGCTAAAAACATCAAGAGGGTACTGATGTACAGCCTATTGGTGGGTTTGACCTTCAAAAAAGAAAGCATGGTGAAACGGAGCAACGGGAACCTTGAGGAGTGCTGTGAGTTCTGTTCTTTTTAGTGAGACTACGGTAGCTAATTCACAAACCTTTTTCCTCTTCCCTCACCCTCTTGTCTACTTTTAGGGGAGCAAGGGCCAGCAGGAGAGCTGGCAGATCTCGGGGCATTGCGTTATCTCTCCTTTGTGTCACTCTGTTTCTCTTCTCACTAGTCTGGGGCCCTTCTGGTAGCGTCATCATTCATGTGGACACAAGGTCTTGAGGGGGGATTTCCAGTGATGCTGACATTACTCACTGCATTACATCTGTGAATACTGGCTTCAGAAGCTACTGGCAAGAGAGCACTTCTGGAGAGTTGACCTCTTGCTTTACCATAACATTTCAATAGATTTTCTTGTTTTTTTTCCTTCCATCTGCTGTGGAAGGAGAGGTGAGTAATGGGTTCTGGAGGGGACAGCAGATCAGGTGGATTGCTACGGGCAGTTTTAATTGTTGACCAAGTCAATTTTTTTATTATTATTTTGTTGTTTGTTTATTTCAAACAGGTAAAATGATGAGTGATTCTGGTTCACTTGAACAAACCAAATTGCTCTGGCTGACAGCATACTTTTAATAGATTCCTTCAGTAATGATTAGGCCAATGTAATACAAGCAGTGCTTGAATTGTTATTTACACTCATATATGAATATTCAGTGATGTAGTATTTTTGGTGGCACAGGTTTTTTCCTGTAATTACGGTAGGTCTGCTTGTCAGATAATACCAATATATTGATTTGTACAAAATGGCACTAGTTAGATATATCTGAAAGTTCTAGAGGGTCAGAGATGTGCTGCTTATTGTTGGTGTTTATTTCTTTTGACTAGGCTGAGATGTGTGAACTGGATTTTTTTTTAACTTGGTGATTAAGGTATAACAGTCTTCATTTTATTACAAAATTGCTATTGGCATTGAATTTCTGTAGTTTCTTTTCTATCCTCTTATGTTTGTGACTTCTGTTTACTAAAGTTATTAAAATTCCTGTGCATACTGAATATGAATAAAAAAAATAAAAACTGTTATTAGTACATTCACTCTTTACTACCAGAAATCAACTTTTTTTTTTTTTCTTTTTTCACAGCAGATTTCTGCACAGAATATTTTGAGTTCTAGCTTTATTTACCTTCATCCAAGAATTTTGCTGGAAAGGGGCTGTTAATAAAACACAGTCAGAAGGGAAACACCAGTGAAAACACAGAAACACATTCAACCTCTGTCACAGGTAAGCTCGTTTCTGGTCTAATGCAAGTTCTTCAACATATCAACATGTAAGAGAGACATGGAGGAGAGTTGAAGGTGGTGGTGTGGAGGAAAACCCAAGTATTCAGATATGGTTTTATCTGCCTTATTTCCTGAGCTGTAATGCATTGCTTTCCTTCCCTTGCTGTGCTGACTGACCACAAGACAGCTACAGATTTCTGTCTTCCATCCCATTGCAGGTTTATCAGGTGAGCAATCCAAGCAGGGTAAGGGGGAGGCATTCTGTAGCCTAGGTTATGGCATCGAAGGCTGCACATGATAGTGCTATGGGGCATGAAGTGAAGACAGTGCATCCCACAGAACAGTCCAGGTGTGTTGCAGTGTTGAGGAAAACCATTCTGCTTTCTCCACACAAAAGAATAGATGCCTTTTGTAGTCCCATGGGAGGCTTTGGCACCTGAAAACTTTCATACCTAGTAAAATTTCATACTCTTGAGTATAAACAAGGTTTTGAGGTCAAACCATTTATGGTACAGAGGGCTCTCTAGGGGGGCAATAACTGTTTTGTCCTCCTTTTTTTGTGTTTCTGCAAGGTCTAACATCACTGGGTTCTGGTCCACAGTAACACACCTAAATATATATTGTGAAATATACATGTGATGAACTACACATAATAGATTCATGTTAACGTGGAGCTAGGTAAGCATTGCTGTAATCAGCTTAATTTTTATTTTTCTTGAATCTGAAGCCAAACAATCACTTTGCTCAGGTGAATTTGCATAGAAAAAAAATCTTTATGCCTGTAGTTAAAAATGCAACATATCAGATCCTGATATCCAAGCCATTTGAATCAGATTTCAGTTAGACAAGGCAATTTTTCATACCATGACAGCCATCAACCTAATAGGAAATTTCCCTTTCCTTTCAAAGCTTATGCTATTATTTTTACTGAAGGAAATGAGAGCCATCAAGGATTTTAAATTCTGAATATATGAAATAGGTTTTTCATTTCAAAGCAAACTGTGATTTTGTAAAGTTATTTTTTAAATAAAGTTATTTTTTGATGTGGCTTAGAATCATATTTTCTCCTAGGCATATCTGAGTTCAGCACAACCAGGAGCCCAGCCTCTATTGAACACTGTGCCCTCTATACGTATAAGCTACTGATTGATGCTCTGCTTCCTAATTACATGGGTGAGTAGAAAAGAATCAAGTGTTTTCTGTTATGCTCAAAGGCCAGAGAGAGACCATTATGGTAGTCTGATCTGACTTCCCACAAGACAGAGGCCATTTGCCAACCCTTGAAGTAACACATATTTTCATTAATATTGGATTTGTTGTTTCCATTTAAAATATTTTGTCTATGTGAAACAGCTGCAAAAGGTGTTAGAAAGGAGCTTCAGCAAGGAGTAAAAAACAGGAGAATTTTGAGTCCAGCTGCTAGGGCTGAGACAAGGAAGAGATGACCTTGCAGTTCAAAGCTTGAACTTTGAGAGGTAAGGAAGAGTTTCAAGCAGCAAGAGAATAAACAGGGAAAGAGAGATGACAATTTCCATTTAAGAGAGCAGAGAGCAAGTAGAATATTAATCTTGAGAGAATGAACTAATACAGATTATGACTCCAAAATATGAAAAATTCATACTTAGGTGTACAGTTTGTCCCACTAAAGAAGAATTTATCTACAAGACTCTCCATTCTGCCTTTTAAAGGATAAAGTTTCTCCCATGCCCAGTTCTGTACATTTATGGCTTTGATTAAGTATTGTTGTCCTTCTTACAGCTGTTAGCCATAAGCTAGACCTGTTGTATAATGGGTTGACACATCATTGTTGAGTTTGTTGTTGACTAGCCAAGGCTTAACTGAAATAAGCAGTATTCAAACTGGTATCTCCAGCTTATTTCTAGGAACAGCATATTTTTCTCCACCTGACCTTATGTTGGATTTGTATGTGTGACAGGTTTTTGGTAGTAGAGGAGGGGGGGCTGCAGCAATGGTTCCTCTGAGAAGCTTCTTGAAGATCCCTCAGCTCCAAGACAGACCTGCCTCTGGCCAAGGCTGAGCCAATTAGTGATGGTGATTGTGTCTCTGTGATAGCGGATTTAAGAAGGGGAACCTGGGAGTAGGGGTGGGAGTTGTGAGGGAGACACCTATGCAAACACTGAGGTCAGTGGAAAAAAAAGGAGGAGGAAGAGAGTGGGGAGGTGGGCCAGAGCAGAAACTTCCCTGCAGCCTTTGCTGAGGGGGCAGGCGGTGCCCCTGCAGCCCATGGAGGATTCCATGCTGGAGCAGGTGCCCACCTGCATCCTGTGGAGGATCCCATGCTGGAGCAGGTGGCTGTGCTCAAAGAAGGCTGGGACTCTGAGGGAAGCCTGTGCTGGAGCAGTTTGTTGCTGGGAGGACTGCAACACATGGGAACATGTGAGAGGGACCCATGCTGGAGCAACTTGGGAAGATCTGTAGCCCATGGGAAGGACTCATGTCGGAGAAAGTTTGTGGAGGACTGTCTCCCAGGAGAGGGACCCCGGTCTGGAACAGGGCAAGTGTGTGAGGAGTCCTCCCCCTGAGGAGGAAGGAGCAGCAGAAACAATGGGCAATGAACTGACCGAAACCCCCATCCCTTGTTCCCCTGCACCACTGGGGGAGGAGGAGGTAGAGAAATTGGGAGCAAAGCTGAGCCTGGGAAGAAAGAAGGGGTGGGGGGAAAGTGTTTGTAAGGTGTGGTAATATTTCTCACTATCCTACTCTGTTTGTTAAATTAAGTGGTGGTGGTGTTTGAATTAAACTGATGGGTTTTTTTTTTTCTTCCCCTAAGGAGTCTGTCTTTTGCCTGTGACCATAATGGTTGAGTCATCCCTCCCTGTCCTTATCTTGATTCTGAGCCTTTTGTTGTATTTTCTCTTTCCCATTCCTGAGGGGGAAGGAGTGAGTGAGTGACCGCCTGGTGCTCAGTTGCTCTCCAGGCTCAAACCACAGGGACACCTTATCTTCCCCACCATTTTTATTCAAGTAGCCTGTCGCATCATAAGCCAAGACCATAAGGTAAAATCTTCTGGGGAAAGAGACACTGTTTAAGGAGAGACTCATGCAGATGGCTGCACTCTACTTTCCTTGAGGTAGGATCATATCTTAGGCTTTTGTGGCATAGTGCAAGACTCTTTTACACATTTTGTGATTTAGCAAATGTTCTGGGTTGAGTGAGTGGTGGAGTTTTTTTGGTGGCAGAGGAGGGGGGATATAGGGGCGCGGCCCCTTGCGAGAAGCTTCTCGAAGCTCTCCCAGCTCCAAGTCAGCTCCACTTCTGTTTGGGAAATTGAGCCAATCGGCTGCGCCTCTGCAATAACATATTTAAGAAGGGACGTGGTGACGTGCAGTCGGACTTGTGAGGAGGAGTTGCTGCAGCTGCATGAACACCAAGGTCAGTGGAGGAACGGAGGAAGAAAGGAGGGGGGAGGTGTGCTGGAGCAGAGACCCCCCTGTATCCTGTGGTGAGACGGCAGGACGGCCCCCCCTGCCACCCATGAAGATCTACAGTGGAGCAGACATTGATTTATGGCCTGTGGCTTCCGCTGACTGATCAAGGTTCTGTGCCCAAAGAAGGCCGGGGTCTCATGGGAAAAGGTAGCCCCGTTGCTGTAATTCAGTGCTGGGAGGATTGCAGCATGTGGGGGAGTCCCACGCCGGAGCAGCTCAGGAAGGGCTGCAGCCGTGGGAGAGAATCCAGTCGGAGGAAGTTAGTGACCCATGACGGAGCATTGTGGGGAACGCTGCGGCCCATGGGAGGAATTCATGTCGGAGCAAGTTTGTGGAGGACTGTCTCCTGTGAGAGGGGGACCATGATGGAGCAGGAGGAACAAGTTCCAGAAGCTTCCCCCACCGAAGATAAAGTGGCAGCACTGACTGCATCCCCCATTCCCTGCCCCTGTGCCACTGGGGGAGGAGGTAGAGATATCAGCAGCAGAGCTGAGCCTGGGAAGAAGGGAGGGGTGAGGGGAAGGTGTTCTCAAAATGTGACAATGCTTGTCACTGTCCTACTCTGTTATGTGTTGTTGTTAGTTTCTGTAATAAATGTATGTTCTTTTTTTTCTTCCCCTAACGAGTCTGCCTTTTGCTCATGACCATAAAGGGCGATTTTTTCCCCATCCCAGTCCTATCTCGAACCCCAAGCCTGGCTCTCTGTCCCTTCTTATTGCTGGAAGAGAAGGGAGAGAGAGTGGCTGCGTGGTGGTTGGCTGCCAACCAGGCCCAAACCACGACAACAAGCCAGATGGTCCCATGCAGTGCAGCACTTCTGTGTGTCAGGGAAAAGAAAACTTGAAGTGTTCTAGGAAACTGGAGCTCTCTGCTGATGCACATGCTTTGAAACTTTGGTGTCATAAATATGGTTGGGTGGATGGATGGATTCCAATCTACTATGGAGCTGCAGTAGAATACAACAGTGTTAATTAATTGTATTAGCAACATGTTCTCACACTGAAGGGTTGAAAGAGTACTGCATGGTTGTAGCTGGAAAAGGCTTGCTCAAAAGACATAGAACACGTATAGCACCTAGTTCTCAATGAAGCAAGGTTCGTGGCTGTGTCTGTATTACCAGATAACACTGTTGAACAGAAGCAGATGTGTGCGGCAGAGCACTTGGGGCTGAGGACCCAGCACTGTATTTCAGTAGCTTACTCTGGGTCAACTGTAGCTTGGTGCTGTGAACTTGTTAGCCATTAGTGGATGGAAAACATTAGGTGGACTCTTGGAGCACACCATCTGATTGAGTTTCATCCAAAAGGAATCCAGTTTTCACACTCCAAAACCAACTCATAATCTGAACCAAGAGTGTGGTGAGACAGAGATGCTCCAAAAGTGGAGTCCTGATCCAACCCAAAATGCTGATATACATGTATTTCATGCCTACCCCATGAATACTCAGGGAACAGAGCAACTAAGACAGCTATTGTGTGATCCTCCTTCCATTTATTGAAAAGCCACCCTATGCTGGATGAGTTTAGTAGTGCTAAACTCTGCTAGGTGGCAAGGAGACTGCCTGGTCTTCCCAGCTGCATAATCTCAGTTCACTTTTTCCTGCCCTTTGTGCTCCCTTCCTTAGCCTCAAGCTGTCAGTATTTTGAGTTATTTGAACTTCAAAAAGAGAAGAGTGATTTAAGCCTTCTTACATGTTTTTAAAAAAACCCACTGGAATATTGGTTTCTTGGTGGATTTTCAGATCTTTAAAGTTCATGTTTTCAAGCTTTACACTGTGCTTGTTCTAATACAAATTCCACTAGCATTTTCTGTGGATCTCTGATCCTTCAAATTTAAGATGATGAAAGTAGTTAGTGAAATGGTTGTTCTCTAAATATAGGAAAGCCCTTTAATTAAGGGCATAGAAAGAATTAACCTTTTTTCCCTCCCCACGCACCTCCTAGAGATTTGAACAATTGATTTCACATAGGTAACAAATTAAAGTTTAACAGCAGTATGATGAATACACTTAAGTTCTGCAGTTTATTTCACATGCTCTTGAAAAAGCATGCTTAGACATATTATCAATAAAGGATAGGTGACATTTCTGGTAATTGGCATAAACACAGAGTCTGTGAGTCCATTTTACTCCTTTAGCTGTTGGTCTGTTGGTTTTGTTTTTTTTTTGTGGAGAGCAGACTTTAGAAAACCCAAAGGGTAACTATTAAATTGGAACATGCATAAATATACAGTCCCTTTAAACAACATTTCCAGCAAGAATCCCATCCTCTTTCTGGGGCTGCCAAATGTCCTGAACCACCTGAGTGTTTTGGGTTGTTTCATGTACCATTAACTACAGAATATGGAAATACTGCAAAATTCATTCCAACTACTAAACCTTATGTGTCTTGGTAACTGATTTTAGAAGATATTTAATGCTGTGTAGTCATTAATGTCTTTTGGTTGAGTTCACCTTTTCCACTAATTCTATATTAAGGTAATTCAACAGTTTATAGTACATTATTCCTGATCCACCCTGACGTAAGGGAGAAGACAAAGAGTCCTCCTGGTCTATATTTTATAACAACTATGGAAAATGGTGTGCTGTGTGACTACTTAGAATAGCTGTAACTTTTCTCTGAGGCTTCAATTTTGCAAGCTGTCCAGAAAAATCTTACGAACACAGATTTTTAGTATAGTGTCCATGGCTTGGAATGGAAAGAGCATGGATATGCACAGCTATTTCCCACATTGAGATCTGTTTTGATGTAATTTTCTACTGTATTCTGAACTAACCATGAAAAAACAAATTAGGAAAGAGGATAATTAGTTTTGAGGAAGAGTTGCTTACAGGCTTTTAGGTATTTCTGATCTCAGTCGGCTGTACTCAAGTGTGATAAGGGATAATTCATTTGCTAAACTAGAATAAGATTGTACTACTAAAACATCTTGTCAGAAAATTTGTAAATTGAAGCCACGAAGACAAGAGACAATGAAAACAGTCATGTATGTCTAGCAAAATGTGTGTGTGCATGTCCTGCTTTTAAAACTCTTGAGTATAAATGTGTAAAGGGAAACATTCTAAATGACAGAAAAGTCCACCACTGAAGGAATCACCTTTTAATTTAGAAATTTGCAATACAAGTTATAGAATCTTATTTCATTGATCTTTACAACTAGTTATTCTGTATATTTATCTATATTGTGAATGCGTTGCATTGGATATACAGACCACAACTGGAGATACAATATCAGTCTGAAGCTCTTCATTTCATTTCTTATATACATATGTATATGCTTCTTATGCAATCTATGATTAAACATATGTGCCTTGCTTTTTGGAAAATCAAACACATAATGTGTGATCCAGAAATGGCTGAATCAAGGAAACTACTACATTGACTTTAGGCATCTACTTTTATGTATAAATGTGGGGGGTTGCCACTTTTGAAAATAAAAGCTTTTTCTTTGTCTGTTGGTACTCTGTGATTTTCATTCCCTTCATCAGAACAATGAGTCTTTGCTAATTTGCAGTGGTGAATGAGGAAACTTGTATATTAATTTATTTTGTGCACTAACAAGTAAGTCATTTTCCATGGATGGCTACCGCTTCAGTAAACATATTCTGTGTCTCTTTTTTTGTTAGTGCTAGCATATCTTTATTTATGATGCTTCATAGTCTACTAGTCAATGTTCTGTCCTATGTCTGCAGAAATAATGAAACAATAATAATAAGAATCTTGACTGTGGCATATGCCCTATCTTTGGAAGGTGAGAACAGTCCACAAATGCTGTTTTCTTCAAATAATAAACAGTGCTATTTAGGAGAGTGCTTATAAACAAACGTCTTACAGGACTTAAGCAGCATAATTTTAAAGGTTCTGCTTTTGTCAGAGAAT